TCATCAATTTTCCAATGAGATCTTCAAGCTTGAGAGTGTTGAGATCCTTAGACTCTTCAATTGCGGTCTTCTTGGCTTCCCAATTCTTAGGCAAGTTTCTAAGAACTTTCCTCACCACTTCTTGAGAATGATAGACTTTACCAAGAGCTTGAGATTGGTGACTATATCATTCAATCTTGTATACATATCTTGAATGCTCTCCTTCGGTTTCATCTTGAAAAGCTTATACATGTAAATGAGTCTATTGATTTTTGACTCCTTCACTTGGCTTGTTCCTTCATGTGTTACCTCCAACATGTCTCACATCTCCTTGGCCGTATCACATCCAAATACTCTATGGAATTCCGTTGGATTGAGAGCACATTAAAGCATGTTGATTGCTTTGTTGTTGATCATGATCTTCCCCAAGTCTTCATCATTCCATTCAACTTCTTCCTTTGGCACCTCTCTTTCTCCAACAACTTTCATAGGTACATATGGACCTTTCATAGTCACAATCCATGCCTTGGGCACATTTGCAAGCAAGAAGACCTTCATCCTATTCTTCCAATAATTATAATTAGTCCCATCAAAGAAAGGAGGCCTAGTGGTAGACAAAACTTCAAGTGGTTGAGTCCCCAATTCTTCATCATTCCATTCAACTTCTTCCTTTGGCACCTCTCTTTCTCCAACAACTTTCATAGGTACATATGGACCTTTCATAGTCACAATCCATGCTTTGGGCACATTTGCAAGCACAAAGACCTTCATCCTATTCTTCCAATAATTATAATTAGTCCCATCAAAGAAAGGAGGCCTAGTGGTAGACAAACCTTCAAGTGGTTGAGAAGCTTGAAATTGAGCCATCCTTGATCAACTCCTAGGTGTTTAAACCTTCAAATTAGAGCCCTTACACTGATACCAATTGTTGACTCAATGTACTCCAAGAGGGGGGGTGAATTGGAGTTCCAAAAATTCTCTTCTTTTGCAACCACAACACCAAAATTAAAGAGAGTAGAGAAGTAGAACTTGCTCAATGATTTTATAGAGGTTCGGTCCAACCACTTAGAACCTAGTCCTCTACCTTGGCTTCACTCACCAAGGATTTCCTCCACACTCTCCACTAACAAAATCAAGGGTGGCTTAAAGGAGCCATTGAATCCTTTTACAAGAAGAAGGGTGTTTCTCTCAAATCTCACCCCTTTACAAGATAACCCCAAACAATCCTCTCTACAAATCACTCTTGAAGGAATAATCACACCCCCAAGATCACTCACAAATAGAACAAGAAGAGGATTACAAGTAAAGATCTCTCAAAAATCAAAAACTCAAGTTAAAACTCATGTAGGTAGGTAAAGATATTCAATACAATGCTCTCTAAACTTCTTCAGATTTGTTACCAACCATATTTATAGCCCCTTGCTCGAAAATAACCGTTTCTAACCGTTGGGGGTCATTAAATGCTCTGCAGGACATAAAGGTCGAGTTGCAAGATTGTCAGGAGAGCCGGCTCACCATTTCTGCAATCGGCTTTGCAGGATTCTGCACATTTTGTTTTCTCCGTAGAGCCGGCTCCAAAATGCAAAGCTGACTTTGCGAGTTTGATGCACATTCTGTTTTCTTTCACAGCCGGCTGCAAAGCCTAGAGCCGGCTTTGGTTTTTCGACTTTAACAATATTAATTATTTTTCAAATAAGTCGACCGTTGTGCATTAAATGCACCCTTAGAGCCGGCTGTAAAGTTAGAGCCGGCTTTGCGTCTTTTCTTCCCGTGCGCCAAACAACGGACCTTTAAATCTTTACTAGTAAAGCCAGCTGCAGCTTCCAGAGCCGGCTCTTTGCACTTCCATTTTACCAGAGCCAGCTGCAGCTTTTAAGAGCCGGTTTTCTGCACATTTTCAATCCTTTTGGTCTATTTTTAGTATAGTCCAAGTTTACTTGCAATTTTTTAGTAACTTAACTACACACTTAAATAAACCGATTAGTCACTCAAATGTGTTTTGTAATCATCAAAATCATAGGTACAACAGAAAAAGAAACAAACAAAAATGCTACGAGAAAAGTGCAAATATGGATGTCAATTTTGTTTTTTTTTTATTTAAAGATGTTAATTTTACTAATTTTTAAATAAGAATGTCAATTTTTAATTTTTTATTTAAAAATGTCAACTTTTAATTTTTTTTTATTTAAAGATGTTAACTTTTAATATTCTAATTAAAAAATATGTTTGTCATGTAAGCATATCATTCAATTAATTTTTAAATAGAAAAAGTTAAGAGTTGATATCATTAAATAAAAAAAAAGTTAAAAATTAACATCCTTATTTAAAAACTAATAAAATTAATATTTGTAAATAAAAAAAGTTAAAAATTAGCATCTTTATTTTGAAACTAAAAAAATTAATATATTTAAATTAAAAAAAATAAAAATTTGACATCCTTATTTGCACCTTTCTTTCAAAAATACTGGCTTAGTGTTTTCATTTCGACTCATCAAAGATTCAATTTTGACTAGATTCTGAATTTCCTCTCCCATGTTATCTTTTCTACAAGAATTTGTCTAACCTATGCCCTTACAAGTGCAATTAATATATTTTTTTATAATTAATTTACATAAAAAATTATAAAAATTGATTTTTATTTTAACACAATTAACACATAAATGATTTTAATTAATTAATTAATTAATTCAAAATCAATATTTACCCTTTTTCATGAAAATTAATTAATAAAAATATATTTATTATATCCTTAGAAAAACCCTTTCTGCAATCCATAGTCTTATTCCAAAGGCAAGCATGAAAAGGAAAACAATCTAATATTTTTTTGAACTTGGAGGTAACAATCGAATATGATTGAACAAAGCAGCCATATTGACTCAAAAAGACCAAAAAAACCAAACTCAAGAGACCGGACAAAATGTAAGGGCAAAGAGGAAAATCATATTGGGTTAATAGACTTAAACATTAAATGCCCATTTCACCCCCTACTAAAAGTAAAGAGAAGGGCAAGGTTCAGGTTCAACGATTAAAAATGAAACAACAAAAATACTTTTGTAAGAAAACCAAAATGTCAGAGTACAAGGACAAAGGGAAAAGCGAGAATCAAGGGCAAAAAAGGAAAGAAAACTGTGAGATATGGGGGGGGGGGGGGCAATTACTGTTCATTTCGCGAGGCGAATCTCCCTCCCATTAACTATTTAGATATTCCCTTTTGCAATAGTATTGAAGAGGGAAAATTAGTAATAATCACAAATTTTACTTCTTAGAATTGAATTCAACATTTACAGGACGTGTGTGGACTTGCCATACAAACAATTTCTTCTTCCAATGGGAAGTCTTCCATCTTCCCGTAGTTGCGGTGAAGAAAGTGGCAATTTCAGAATTCAAAGATTCTGCCAGATCCTATGCCCTCACGCAGCATTCAAAAAGTTTAGCTCATAATTCAAGCTCAAAATTCCGATTTCTCACTTTTCATCAAAATTCATTCTGAACTCCTTTTTCACCTTTGCATTCAATCAGTTGAAACTCTTCCATAATAAGCTCAAACACAGAGGCTTGAGATGCCACATGCAAAATTTTAGCTTAGCTGAGAGTCAATCCAATATTTTCTCATCAGTTGAGAAAAGGTTCCAGACGACCGTTCCAACCAAGTAGAGCCCAACTGAAACTCTGAAAACATCATCCCAAGAACCTGCAGTTAGGAAGAAAACATCAAATGAATTGGCTATATCAAGAGTTGCTACAAAGAGAAGCATGATGCAGTTCGAGGCAGCATACTCTTACTATCTTGTATGTGCCAGAAATCAGATTTTATATTCTAATTAATTTCAGATAGTCTAACATGTATTACTGATTAAGTTTACTAGCAGCTCAATTCAAACATGAAAAGAAGGAGATCTAACCATGTTGTAAGATGTAACCAGTTGCTGCTGTTCCAAAGACCCCTGCCAACACTCCTGCTGTCTTGGATAACCCAAGCAGTACTTCCTGAAGCAATAAATAAAATATAAAAGATGAAACTGTTATTTGCCTCAGAAAAACTTAAGGTTGAGTTTGGACGAAGGATTTTAAGGTGGGATTTCATAATAAGAAGAAATTGTGAAGAAAGGATTTTCGAATTCTTTCATTTTTGTCAATGGCAGAGTGGGATTATAGTTTAGTTAGAGGAAAATGAGGAATTGAATGAGGAATTTCAAAATAACACTTACAGAGTATCGAGGGCAATATCTTGATGGTTTGAATATAGGCCAGACTGTGAGAATGCGTCAGTTCCCTATTTAAGACAAATGAAATATTGAATAATTGATCAACCGCATACCTTGACCAGTTACCCAGAGCATCATGATATCCTGGCAAGAAGCATAACTGACCGCATGCCATACAGAGATACAGCCATTGCTGGAAGATCAACATGGCTCAGCTGACTGAGGAAGAAAGCAGGGCCCAGAAATCCAATTGTTTGCATGATCTGCAATGGAGTACAGAGTAAGCAATATATTTACATAAGCTTCCAGGGAATCATTACTTAGGAGACTATAGTTTTTAAGTGTGCAACAGAGCACAAGGGAAACAAAGGGCACATGAATAAAGGGATGTGCATTCCCAATGCCACCATGTAAATGTGTATCAGTCACAAAAAGGAAAAAAAAAAAAAATTGAAGAAGAAGAAGATGATGATGGCAATGAGGGGATTATCAGATTTTTCAGAAGGGAAAGGAAAACAAAATATTATGAGAAAACTAAAGATACCTTGTGGAGAGCAGTCACAGATAAACCTCCGCTCGCAAGTGTATCTGCAATCCACCCTCCTGCATTTGCAGAAAAAGCCATTGTAAGCCAGGGCAAAACAGAAAAAGCCATTGTAAGCCAGATTCTGTTAGATTGAACTTCAGGACCTGTGGTGTTATTAGGAGAAGGGAAAAAAAAAATGCACCTCTATTAATACCACAATCAGAAGCAACAATTTCTCTTTTTCAAACATAGCTCAAAGAATCACTATATAATCACAAAACCACTTCCAGCTTCAAAAGTTAAAAGCAGAAACCAGTTTCTTGGTTGCTTTAGTACAATTATGTTATATATATATATATATATATATAAGTAAATGACACAGGACAGGATAATCTGTCAGAGCCTTGAAGTCCACCTTACCACATGGACAATCAAGAGTTGCAAGAATAAATCGATTGCACATTCAAAAGAACACAACATCTTACTTGATGATGGTATGTTGGCATCCAAGTTAGAAGAACAAATGTCCCCCAATTGTGACAGAAGTGAGAAACAATCAGGGCCCAGAGAGGTGGTTTTGACAGGATCAAACTCCAGGGGATTGTTTTGACAGGTTCCTTGGAAACACATTTTGTAACAATAAGCTTCTTCTCTTGAGGCCTCAGTTCAGGATCTTCCAAAGGTGCACCGTGTGCCTAAACAAAGAAGAGAAAATATAATAACAGAATAAACACTTGTGTCAGAAGGTCTCAGTATAGTAACAAACAACTGAAGGTAGACTACAACTACAGTATTTGCCTTCAATCAAACATATTATGTGCACAACGTGGACTTCTATTACAATTTCAGCAAAGTCAAAATTCTGCAGAAGTAACATGTATAGTAAAGATTAGAATGGTTGAATACTGGTTACCTTGTTTAGCCATACAGCATACCAGACTGTTCCCAGAGAACCAAAGGAGAAAAAGACTGATGGCCATCCAAACTTATGTATTAAGAAAGGTGAAAAGGCCAGACCAGTAACTGAACCAAGATACATCCCAGTGTATACTAGAGCTAGTGATCTGCTTCTTTTGGCTACAGGAACCCATTTCGACAGAATATTATTCATGGCAGGCATAGCAACACCCTGAAATAAAAACAAACCTTCAATTACATACTATGGGGATCAGGTCAATACAAAGTTTGAAAAAACTAAATAATAGTTACCATACTCTTTTGGAAACAGGTTCTACCATGGAATTTTTGAAATAAACATAATCACAGAAAATTGAAGTTATAGTTGCCAGAAAATTAAAGAACCAACCTCACCAATTCCCATGAAAGCACGAACAACAAGTAGGAATGGCAACCCAATATTGGCAGCAACAGGAGTAAGAACAGTAGCAATAGACCACCAAACTACGCCAAAAGCCAGGACTGACTTCCCACCCACTGTATCAGTCCATATGCCACCAGCAATCTGTAATTGATGACCACAATCAGAGTAAAACCCAAAACAGTATACTCATTCAGATAAGAACTGGAAGTGATCTTAAAAGAAAACATTGAATCATCTGAGTAAGAAGGTAACCGCAGAAGAAAGATGACTGTATCAAACCAACAGTAGTTGGACTCCAACTGTACTCTGCTGACATGGGCAGTATGGCAATGCTGATATTTACCTGCAAAACAAAATCTATTCAAATTTGATAAAAGAAGAATTAACAAATTACCCCGTGGGAACTAAATTAAGAAGAAAAATGTAGCGAAAGCTTACTCTATCCACATTACACAACAGAAATGCCGAAAAACACAAAATCACGATAACCGAACGTTTCGGGAACTGGTCCCGCCACGGGATCGAATCGAACCCTCCAAATCCCCCGCACTCAAAACTATATCTTCTAACCCATCTTTAAACTTCACCGATTCCCGTATCGACTCCGGCATTTCTCTAACATCTGCGTATACTTTCCCCCTCCTTCTCCTGCCCGAATTCCACACCGAAACTCGGAAAACATGGAACAGATTGTGGACCCCGACCCGGAATTAGGCCTGAACAGGGGATGCTTTGTTCCTGGTGGAAATATCGGGTGGGTTTTTGGGTTTATAGAGAGAATGGAAATTAGGAGAAGAGAACAGAGCTCCGGTGTTCGTGACTACTGTTTTCCGTTCACCACTTCAGTAAGAGGGAGGTTGAAAGATTTTTATACGTTGTTTTGGAGAGAGAAAATGGACCCGATATTTATGGGAATGGGCGCTGGTTTCGTCACGTGGCTGCAATGGACTAACAGAAAAAAAAAAAAAAAAAGTTCAAAAACGGATTGGATGTTATTTTCTTTCTTTGTCTTTTGTAGATAATAATGGCCTTCTGTAAATTCAACAAACTGAGGGCCAAAGTGTTTGCTTCACCAGTTGAACCCATAACTCATAATATGACGGGTCTAGATCTATTAACCAGTTATGGTAGACACTATGGGCTTTGAGACCATTTCAGATTTTTGTGGCCAGCGAGATCATTTCAGCACAATGAAGCATAATAAAATTTTAGTTCAATTTTTGAAGGCCAAAAACAATTAGTTCTATTATTTTCTTCTTTGTTGTAAAAGAATTGAAGTTGTCAACATTTTTTCTTTAAAAACAATTTACTTTTGATTTTTCTGAAATTTGTTTTCGGCTCTTGAAAAGCTACAAGTGAAACTACAAACATATAACTTTTGGAGCTGAACTATTGCTATTAAGGTTTTGAATTTGCTAGTTTTTATCAAGTTTTAATATTTTTATTATTAGTCTATATTATATTAATTTATAATTTAACACCTTCACAAAAAATCTACTCAAAAAGTATCTCTATATAAAAAAAAAACTACAGTTAAACTAAATCACTCTTAATTTTGACTCAATTTAGTTATATATGTGCAAGTGGTAGCAACATGATAGGTAATTGGGATCCATTTTTTGTTTTAATATGATCAAATTGTTGTAAAGAGAAAGCTAAATTAAGGGAAAATAATTTAGAAACAATTTTTTTTATACAACTTTATATGTATTTAAATAATTAATTTTTTTATTCATTTAAAATTCATGATATTGAATATATTCATTTATTTAATAATATATGAAAATTATTTAAAAAATAATATAACAATTATCCTTATATCACCACTTCTAAATTAAATGTGATCCTGTGATTCCTAATAATGATGCTAAAATAAAGAAAAAAAGAGGAAAGGGATATAGATTAATCTTTTTGAACGTTGGGCACGGATAAATATTAAAGTATATACATAAATATTAAAGTTGATACTAGGGGTGGACATTCAGGGGGGTAACTGAAGAGTTACTCAAAAATTGAACCAAAAAAATGAATTTGGTTTAATTTTAATGGTTTTTGAGTTTTACTATTTGGTTTTGATATTAACAGAATAAATTTTAGTTTGATTTTAGTTGAACCTTTTACAAACTAAAAATAAAAAATAAGCCTTTTAAAAATCGAAATTTGGATAAATATGACAAAATATAATAAAATATGAGATAAAATATAATTTATTATTAGAAAAAAAATTTATTAATATTTATTTAGTAAAAACCAAAACCGAACCGATTTATTGGTAACCAAACAAATCAGTTTGTAAAAACTTTGGTTCGGTCTTGATTCTCAAAATTGAAAAAAAAAATTTTGGTTACTTTAAAACCAATTTTGATTTCAACCAAAACCGGTTTTTGCCCACCCCTAGTGATACATAACAACAAGAAAGTCCAACTTAATCCGCTACTAAAGCCTACCTTTACTTATAGCTGGTCTGACCTACACCGATCCCACCACAATTGTACACATTTTTAGGGGTGGGCATTTGGTTGGTTAACTGAATGGTTAACCAAAAACCAAACCGAAAAATTGAATTTGGTTTGAATGAATTGGTTTTGGTGAAAAACCAATGAACTTTCGGTTTGATATTGGTCAGGAGGCCCAATAAATGAAAACCGAATAGGGCCTCCTAACTAACCGACTAAGGCCCAAGTATTTGGGCCCAAAAAAAAAAAAAGGATAAAGAATCCTAAATGGCGTCATCGACACACCACAATTGCCTTCCAATTCCAACCCTCCTCATTTTCACTTTCCCTCTATCTGGAAAAATTCCCTCCAAAGCTCCAACCCTAAAAATCAATTTCCCTCCCAATGCTACAACTCCAAAGATCAATTTCCCTTCATCTCCACCTAATCTTTCATGGATTTTTATCAATTTTTCTCAAGTATAAAAGCTTTTACACCTGTATTTTTTTTTTATTCTCTTAAAAATCAATCTCCTCTTTTTACCTCTCTTTCTCCTTTCTCATCTAATCATCTTCTCTGCTTATCATTACCGCCACCTGGTGGTAGTCATAAGCCTTACATTCCCTTTGCTCTCGTCGACACCGAAGGTGAAAAGCTCAACCCTCATGCCATTGGCAAAGCTTGGCCTTATTTCTGTGAAGAGGTAGCCCCATCGAGAGAAATAGAAGGAGAATCGCAGAGATAGATTATGGAACAGGTATACTTCCAATATTTTAGACTGGTTCATGTTATATTTTCAAGAAAAATTGTCAAATTTTGGCTTAAGTGAGAGATGCTTGTGGAAATAGTTAAAAGGTTGTTAACATTCGATGAAAACCGAAGCATAAAAAATGGAAACCGAAAATTTCGATACCTGAAACCGAAAAAAAGGGGATAACACTGGTATTGGTATTGGTCTTGGAAATCAGTACCGAAAAATTTCAGTTACTAAAATATTGGTTTTGATTGATACTGAAACCGATATTTGCCCACCCCTACACGCTTTAGGCGACTATACCGTTTAATAGTCAAGCCTACATTTTTGCCTCTCTCGAGGCTTTTAATTTAAAGCGTTTACT